CAAAATCTATGCTGCCACTCCATCACATAACTAAACTAAACTATTGCCAAACAAGGCGTTTGAGCTGGCGAATCTCAAAGTCTCGACCTTTCAGGAAGCCCTGAAGAAAGCAGACGAACCGCCGAAACGCTGGCTCAGATAAATAAAGTCTTGCTACCAACTTTAGTCAACAGCTTAAAAAGTGTATAGCGACTTGTTCTTACTGGTAGATAATTGAAACATTTTCCAAAATTTTGAAAAATTCAAACTAGTTCCGAAAACATAAAAGGTGGGTCCGCCGGCGCCCCTTTTGAAAATGGGTTTCAGTCCTCTAATATAGGGAGCAAGCCAAATATCTTTGGAGGGTTCGCTAACGCGCTCCTTTACTCAAAAAATCCTCTGTCGCCCCCTCGCCCTGCGAATAAAATTTCTCAGACCGCCATTGTTAGCAGGTATTACCAGAAGTCGGATTGGTCCCAGCAAGCTACTTAGTAAAAGAGATTTCAGTTATTTTATTTCATTTCCGCCATAAAATATTTTAGATGACGGATTTCCAATTTTTTTATTTCAAGATTATTTTTACGAGAACATTTCATCCATAAAATGTCTTTAGGCAAGATCGCGATGAATACATAGAAATTATATGGCGTAATGTACAAAATGGAGCTGACGATCAATTTGAGAAGTAAGAAAATGCATTTTAAAATTCCTAATCCAAGAATTTATTTTGGATACAATTTAAACGTGATCGATCATCTCAAAGAGCCGTACGATTACTCCTCTATTATGCACTATGGACCGTACGCATTCAGCGGATCCGGAAAGAAAACCATTCTTCCACGAAAGGTAAAATAGCCAAGCTTTCAGATTCCGCTAATTGCAGCTAATTTAAGAGTGGTGCGGAACGAATGGGTCAAAGAATTGCATTCTCTGAAGGTGATATAAGGAAGATAAACAAGTTGTATAATTGCGATATGAGCATCAGCGGAAATGCAATCATCGATAGGAACCAAGTAAGGACTTTGCATAACTATATCAGTTGAAATAGTGTCAATTGTCCACTAACTCATATGGCAATGTCATTAACGGTTTAAATGAGCATCGTTCACCGAAATCCGAGGTTGGTGAGATTTTGTTGCTGTACAATAGCCAGGCCCTTTTAGCAAGCGAGTGCCCAAGTCCTGCTGCAAAAGGTGACGAAGCGGAATAATCGGCCCAGAAAATTGCTGTTGCTGAGGTCGTCACGCCTATCAACGTGGGGGTTTACAGTAATGTGCGCGAAACTAGACTTCGGAAAGTCAAAAATGTTTTTTGCAATAAGGCAGATTTTTGACAATTTTGGGTATAATTTATTCCAGTATCGGGCACAACACCTTCGGACACCCACGTTGATAGGCGTGACAACCCCGGAAGTATCCATTTCCTTCAGCAACTTTCTCGCTTCAGAACAGACCTTTTGCAAAAGGATTTGGGCAATAATTCAACTATGGGCCTCGCGCTATTT